CGCATAGAAAAAGCGTGAATTGCCTGCTTGTTCGATGGAAGATGTGCGACCGTACAGTAGAAACGGTCGCACGCCTTCCATACGATTATGGTACGATCGCGGGATTTCCCGCGATTCTCGTACAGTGTATGGGCACATTTACCGTTGCTGAAAATGCAAGAGGGTGAGATAAAGGTTTATTGCTTCTGCATCCAGCAGGGAGACCTTATCCGGAGGGAGAGAAATCGGCCTGTTGCGGCTATCTATCCAGTACCCCAAATATTTCAGTCTGCGAAGGGACCAGCAGAGACTTCTCCCTGTTCAGTAGCCACCCAAACTCTTTAGGGGGCTGGTGGCGATTTCCAATTTCAGCCGGAGAAGGTCCCCCGAGGGGGCAAAAAATAAAAGGTCGTCCAAATATAGCGCAACCCCTACTCCTCTCAACCTCAAGGGGGCAAGGGCCTCTGCCAGCACCTTGGTAAAAATCCTTGGTGCGGACGACAATCCAAAGGGTAGTGCCCTGTACTGAAAATGGAGAACTCCAGCTGGTCCTCTGACCGCAAGCCGCAGTAGTTTCAGAGAGGACTTCGGTATCGGGATGTGTAAATATGCATCCCTGAGATCTATCGTTGCTAAGAATGCCCCCTGTGGTAGCAAGTCCCTTAAAGAGAAGGTTGACTCTATACAGAACTATTGGTAATGCACCACCTTGTTCAAAGGTTTCAATTTCAAAATCAACCTGCCTTTCCCTGAGGGTTTCATCCATGAAAACAGATGAGAATAAAACCCAGTCCCTTCTTCCTGCTTCGGGACCTGCATAATCACCCATTGGTCCAGCAGGTCCTGAAGGGACACCGTCATAAGTGTCGCCTTTTCTGGATCCCTGGTGAGTGATGTGATTAAATATCTGGAAGGGGGCGGACCCGTCAATTCTATCCTGTACTACGATTCAATAAGTTCCAGGACGAACTTGTTCTCCAACAGTGTTGCCCATCAGGGGAGGAAGTCCCCCAGCCTTCCGCCCACCTTGATTATGGCGCCACTGTGGTTTGGGCCCAGGCTGAGGGGGATTAAAGAATAAGCCACTCCTACCCTTTTTCTCTCTTGAAGGCCCAGTTTTTTTACCTTTCTGAAGTTTTGTCCCCTTTGTCCACGAAAAAAACCGTTTTCTTTTGTTGTTGTTTCGTGGGCAGGGGAAACCCCTTTCTTCTGTCTGCAGACCTGTCTAACAGAGTCTCTAATTCTTGCCCAAAAAGTAGATCCCCATAAAGGGCAAGCCGCAAAGCTTCGCCTGGAGGCTGCGCCACCAGTCCAGGTTTTCAGCCATAACGCCCTTCTGGATGAGTTAATCAAAGCCGTAGTTCTCGCTAAGTATCTAACGGCCTCTGCAGAAGCATCTGCTATATATGACACGGCCTTGCTCAGGACAGGGAGGGAATCCAAGATTTGATCCCTCTCAGTACATCCTTCCAAGTGTGAACGCAGCTGCACCAGCCAGATTTCCAAGGCTCTGGGCAACACACGTGATGGCGAGTCCAGGCTTGAAACCAGCGCTCGTCGCCTGTTAACCTTTCCTGAGCAAAAACTCTTGCCTTTTTGTCCATGGGATCTTTCAGCGCCCCCATATCTTCAAAATACAAATCTGACTGTTTCGAAACTTTGGAGAGCAACGCATCCAATTTCAGACATTTTTCTCAAATATTCGCGTCCTCCTCCGCAAAGGGAAATCTGCGTTTAAGACTAGATGAAAGTAAAATCCTCAATTCCGGGTGTTCCCATTCAGGTTTAATCATATCTTTCAGGGATTTGTGTACCGGAAAGGTGCGGCCCTTTTTGGTTTGAAGCCCTTTGTACATTTTATCATGTACCGAGAGCTCAGTCATTTCTTCCTTCAACCCTAAGGTATCCCAAATAGCCTTTAAAAACTCCCCGGTCTCAAAGGAAGAAAACAGGTATTTGGCCCTTTTCTGGTCCTGAAAATCTACCTCGGAGTCTTCGTCAGACTGATCATCCGGCCTCTGTGGGGAATCGGAACAATCACTGGGTGACTCTTCACTGGCTACACTCAGTGTAGACACTCTAGCAACCCTCGCCTGAAGGACCCAGATTGTTCTGCCCCCCTAAAATAGGCCCTGTGCTCTGAATGACAGACCGAAAAGACTGAAATGTAGAGACCATTTCCTCCCTCATTGTATCCATAAGACCCTTAAACATTCCAGCTAACTCTCTGGATACCAGCTTCTTTACACATCCTTTGCACAACGGTTTCGACCAAGAGGATGACCACTTGAAGTTGCAAGAGGCGCATCTTCTACCCTTCGGGCGAGAAGTACTAGCTGGAGCAAGGGGCTTATCATTTGGGGCTTTGACCTACGTACATTAAGAAAAAAAGAATGTGTCCTTGTCAGTATGCTGCACCCCATGCTCCCCCACCGAACCCCAGATGCAGTGAAGAGCGCTACCTACATGCCCTGCCAAAACAGGCACCCAACGCAAGCAGGGATAGGCAGGAGGGAATGTCCCCAATAAAAACACACCTACCTTTGCGCCAGTGCCCAATCTCCAAGATCAGGAGAGGCACCCTGTGGTCCAGCGTCTGAAGGCATGGTGACCTGTCTGCTGACCGTGCACGTGACCCACTCCTGGGGTCCCTCCTGGCTGTATGTGGACCCATTTAGGTATCACAATGTGTCCCAGCGTCCTGTAGCATGGGCGAGCGTTTGAAACTGCTGCCAGGACTTCCAAGTCCCTCCTCCAAAACAAAAAAAGCATGGAAAGCGCTCCACTGTAGTATGGTCAACTGTCTTTGGTCGTTGGTATATTCGGGGATGGTGTGCATAAACTCCTCAACAAACCGGGAGAGGAACCCGGTGATTCACATTCACAAACACAGTATAAGGAAGAGTGCAACAACCTGAGTAGATACTTATTGGGTATAGCATAACAGTTGTTCAATGGATAAATGCTGCCCAGTCTGCTGTGACTGGCTGGGTCATGAGGGTTAAAAAGTATATGTATAACTTACGGTTAAGCTGTCACAGGGGAGCAAACAGTGTCTCTGCATGCATATGACAAAGATGGATATACTGCCAATTAGGAAGTCCAGGGTATTCCCAGGGTATCTCCAGCCCGCGTACTCGGCTGGCCTGGCGGAGCCGCGGCACTTGGAGGAAGGAGGGGGAAGGAAGATCTTGCCCGGCAATGTGCTGTGTATCTGTGCGGCGTATGTCGCAAGGGTGGAACGGTCAGACACAGTGGGTGGATCGGTACTCGTGGGTCTGAACGAGTATGGAGTTTGTAAATAGGCAGTACTAACGGCTACGCGTTTCGAGGTAGTCCTCTTTTTCAAGTCTAAGAGCGGTGTTAGCCGCGGGAAACGGAACATCTTTTGAATCTTTTAGAACTGACAGGGGGGAGGAGTCAAGTCCGTGAGAGAGCCTTGATTGGTCCGACCGCCAGAAGGCGGACCGGCTGGCTTGAGGGCACTAGAAAACTACTCCGAGAATTAGCATACCCCGATCTAATAATCATTAGGGGGCTCGAATGTGTTCTCGGGGTATGCTAATTCTCGGAGTAGTTTTCTAGTGCCCTCAAGCCAGCCGGTCCGCCTTCTGGCGGTCGGACCAATCAAGGCTCTCTCACGGACTTGACTCCTCCCCCCTGTCAGTTCTAAAAGATTCAAAAGATGTTGCGTTTCCCGCGGCTAACACCGCTCTTAGGCTTGAAAAAGAGGACTACCTCGAAACGCGTAGCCGTTAGTACTGCCTATTTACAAACTCCATCTCGTTCAGACCCACGAGTACCGATCCACCCACTGTGTCTGACCGTTCCACCCTTGCGACATACGCCGCACAGATACACAGCACATTGCCGGGCAAGATCTTCCTTCCCCCTCCTTCCTCCAAGTGCCGCGGCTCCGCCAGGCCAGCCGAGTACGCGGGCTGGAGATACCCTGGACTTCCTAATTGGCAGTATATCCATCTTTGTCATATGCATGCAGAGACACTGTTTGCTCCCCTGTGACAGCTTAACCGTAAGTTATACATATACTTTTTAACCCTCATGACCCAGCCAGTCACAGCAGACTGGGCAGCATTTATCCATTGAACAACTGTTATGCTATACCCAATAAGTATCTACTCAGGTTGTTGCACTCTTCCTTATACTGTTTGTGAAGTCCCTCCTCCATCTGCTCCTTAAATCACAGAGCGTGCAAACCAGCTTGGAACGCACGCCCAGTTCCGCGTTACAACTACCGGAAGTGACCGACCGGAAGTGCGCCGTGACGTCATTTCCACCACGACACCGCCCTGCCTCACCAGAAACTTAGCACCTGGCCGAAAACATGTCCCCTTTTCCTTTTTTCCCCAGAGGCCCAGTGAGCCTTCAGGCATGGTAAGCCCCCTCTCCAGGGGAACCCACCACCGCCCGCAGCAAACCCACCTCAGCAGGCATGTCTGGAAGGCCGGACCCCAGCACAACCTTTGTGGAGGAACCCCTGACACCATGGGGGTACCTGGCCAACCGTCGTGCGATCCTTGGGCCCCCGGTGTGTAAAAAAAGGGAGTGAGGCAACACAGGGGCACGCTGAGTCAGTGCAGTGGAGCCCCTAATTGGGAGGGGGACCCCCTTGCGGGAAAGCAGGACAATGACGCATGTTATTTTGTGACACACACAGGGGGATCTCTATCTGGAGTCACTCACAATG